CAAAAGTTATTATAAAAGAGTATTTAAAAAAACCCCAATAACACCGGCACAAAACAATGTGAAGCAAGTATGGTTTGGTTTTTAAGCAAGCCTTAATTCCAGCGGATGTCCCCAGAGTTTCAGGGCAAACCTTGACATCCAGGAAAGCAGCTGAATGGAGCAATTTTGATAAAAACTGTTGCATGCAAGGATGGCCACAACACGGATGACATTTAAGAGCTCGGCTTGCAAAAAAGAAATCTGAACAAAGTATGGGAATAACAGATATGAGAAAGACAGAGATATGCCAATTCTTAGTGACTGACATGTTTGATGAAATCTCAATGCCTAAAAAATATTGTGGAAGATCTCATTGATGTTTAGTACAAATGATGAAGTCCTATTCAGATGCCCCTGAGATTGGTGAAGTAGGGAATTTTTTGGCCTTCCAACAGAAGCAGAACTTTAGAGAGGGAAGCCATGTACTGAAGCATTGAATTTAACAAAGAGTCATTACCAAAAGCAAAATACTGAGAGCCAGATGTTTTAAGGTATTAAGATGCTTAAAGATGCTGAAGCCATCAGTAGTTGTTAGAGTGGTGCTGTAGACCCTAAAACTCTGGCCCTAAATTAAACATCAGTGGTACAACTACTGGTTGTCACGTTCAGCCCAAAGGAGAAGGCAAGGATGGAAGCCCAAAGCCCTCAAGGACTGAGCAAGTTGTGAGAGTAAGCAAGCCTGGAGGTAGTGGGAGATGGCAAAGAAAGGGTAAGCAGTGAGACCTCCAAGAGTAAAATGAAGAGATGAGAGGAAAAAATAAGGAACAGAGAAAGGGAAATGACAGAGTAAAGCAAAAGAGACAAGACAGCAGGGAACAGAGGATGAAGCTAGGGAGGGCGCTTCACTGGCAGGAGAGAGAAGATACAGTGTTTTTTAAAAACTGTAGAGCAGGGTAGAGGGAAATGGAAAAAGAGGAGGGGAGGAGGAAGAGAGGGAGGGAAAGGAAAACCTAACTGGAAAGTGTGGTAAAGACCAGAGTCAAGATTGTAGGGGAAGAAAGAAAAAAAGAGAACGGAATGGCAACTAGGGAGGGAGTAGGAAGAAAAGTCAAGATAATAAAAGTAGGATTGGACTGTACTGGGGGTTTCTCCTTCCCCTTTTACCTTCTGTAAGAATACATTTGTCCTGCTTGTAAAGAAAAAAAAATGGATAAGGCTTTGGGCCATAGCGAACCCGTGTGAGGACTGAAGTTTGGCAGTGAGATGCCTCAGATTGTGTCGTTAATAAGAATGCCCCAGTGTCAGTGCAGGCTGGACGAATTAGTAACATTTTGTGTTGTCACTCAAAATACGCACATTTGAAGAATTGTCAGAAACCTTGCTTGGAGCGGCTCTAAAAGAGGGAGCAGAGACTACTCCGTGTGCTCCGGAGAGGAAAATGAATTCCCCTCATGGGGCAGCGCAGGAGGGTTAGCATGGAGCTGTGCGAATGCATTTGGGGCCCTGCAGATACGGGGTGTTGCCTCTCCTTCCAGAGCGCCAGCTAGGCTGGTGAAATGTAGGCAGTGGTAGCCATATTGCTGCCATTGGGGGTTTTTCCTGCTTTTTTGCCTTTTTTTAAATTATTTTTTTAAATCACGCTGCCTGTAGCTGTGGTGGCTTGAGCTGGGTACAGACTATCAGCAGCTTTGCTCCAGCCTGAGCTATCAGTACTCTGCTCCTCAGGGTGCACCAGAGTGTTCTGCGTCCTAAATATCCCTGCATGGATGAGATGACGGTACCTCTGACTGTGGGCAGCACAATTTGTAAACCTGCTTTCTGAGTAAAATTAAAGGTTGGTTAGGCAGAGCTTTTCAGGGCTGCTCCCTTACACACCTATGAATTAGTGTGGGGAGTTTAGGGGTGGGGGTGGGCGCTTTGTGTAGTTTCTTGAACCAGCCTCACTTGCAAGGGTGATGTGCAAGCACTCGTCATAACACTGCTGTACAGACCAAAGAGTCTGGAAATAGAGAACAGATTCTTCCTATACTCGGCTACAGTTTCTATTCTTTTTTTAAAATATATATATATATATAAAAAAAAATTTCTCCTTCTCGCATACATTCCATTATTGTATATTATATTTTCCTAAATGGGAATAAATTGCAGGCTTATGTCTAGTTCTCGCTCTCTTTTATTGTTATTTTAAGCAGCAGGTAAGGTTATAATCCATCTGTGTTTGTGACCTTGAACAAGAATGGGCACTTTCTCATTTACATAATGCTATTTTTTACTGAGCCATTAAACTGCAGAAAAACAGGGCTAGCATGAAAAGTAGTCATCTACATATGTTAAAAAAAATAACTGCAGTAAATCCAACTAAAAAAAGCAGACTTTTTAAAATATGTGAGAGTTCAAGAAATTAAAAAGCAAATGGACTGAAAAGGCAGTTTTACTGCAAGCAAAACCTCCTAAAACAAGATTCTTGACGAACACCTCTCTGTGCATTTGGTGCATTGGTAATCTGCATGAAAACTGCTCCCCTGACAGTTCCTGCCTTCATCAGGAGGGATGCTCCTCATTCCCCTGTGAACCACAGCTCTGCAGCCCGTGGCACAGGGTGCCCCAGCGTTATGAACCGGTTTCAAAATGTTGCCTGGAGGGAAAAAAAACAGTACTGTGCTGGGCTGTTTGCATCACAAATTGTGTATGTTAGCGCCGAGATATGAAATAACCTCGACTTTTTCATGTTGTGAATAACCATTACAGCAGGAGCTGTAATGACAAGACATGGTGATTTGGAAGGAGTGAAACATTAGATTTACTGCTGTTGATTCAATTTCTGAAATGGGCACTAATCTTCATCAATAGGCTTTCTGCAGCTTCTGGGATACCTTTTATCAAGCTGTCACACTGACTCTCTTGTTTTTTAACTTGTGATATTGTTAACTTGTGCCTTACTAAGCAGGATTGTGCCTGGTCTTTGCGGGCGGGGAAGGTAAGGGAGACCTCACTGCAGACAACCCAAGGGCAGGTACTGCTTCTGGAGAGCAGCGAGGCAGCTCCCTGCCAGGGCCGGCTGCAGCTACATACGGACAAGTGCCTCTATTGCCCATCCCTAAACTCGGCAGCAGAGCAGCAGTGCAGCCAGCGGTGTGCTGCCTGCAGACCTCAAGAAAGCAGCCTCTCGACAGGGTGAAGGCTGTAGGTGAGCTATTGCTGAGGACAGTGCATGCTGTGTCTCTGTGCTACACCTCTCTGATTTGCAGCAGTTTCCTTTAGCACTTCAGGAGCTGCAAAAAGCTTAGTGTGGAATCAGCTGTCATCAAACTCCAGTATGCCATCAGCAAACATGGAAGCAGGATGGAGCTGGCAGTCCTGCTAGTGATTCACAGCGTACAAATCCAGCTCACCCGCTCTAGTTATGCTACAGTGGCTCTGAAGCGAGTGGAGCTGCTGTCACTCAGTAGCAGTAGTGCAAAAGCCGTTAGCTGCACAGCTCCCGTTTGTGCGTTTTTCAGTATATTATTCATTTGTATTGCAGTAGCTTCTAATGGCCCCAAATGAGATCAAGGCAACACTGGCTGGAGGCTGAGCATACAGTGTAAGACAGCTCCTGAATCCAGGAGCATCTAATCTAATCAGCTAGTGAGTGTTTGTATGACAGAGAGTATATTTTATGCCTTACTCTCCCACGATTGCATATGCTGTGGTCTCCTGGCCAGTATGCTGCTCGACGCAGATTCCTCCCCAAGTGGGAAACAACAGCAAAGTGCTAAAGCAATGTAACTGTCAGATGGAGGTTAGTTTATTAAATGCGAAGCACGTGAAATATGCTCTCTTGGGCTGTACTAGAAAGGAAAATAGTTCCTGATTGCCTGAGTCTTAGAACCGCACAGCTTTTCCTGTGGAGACCTGACCGTTCAGGGTGGATTCCCCTTCCAGAATGGAAATTCAGAAAAAAAAACCCTATTTGGGGCTGAGACAGGAGAGTAGAGCGTGGCCCTGGCTCTGCATATAGAAAAAGTTCACAGGGAATGAGCTTTCAAACAAGGCTCTGAAACCCATGATTATGCTAATCCAATAACCTGAGGCCCATGGATGAAATCCTGAATTCATTAAAGTTAGTGACAAAATATCCTCCCCTTGGGACTGGGGGAATGAAGCAACTGGCAATCCGTTATTTCAAACTACAAGCTGATTAATGGGGTAATTTTTATACAGATCGAGGTATGTTTTCTGATCCTTTCTCCCAGACCCAGAAATATATCCAGACTTGAGTCTTCATTCAAACTTCATACAAGAGATGACAGAATCCTGTTTATCAATGTGTTTATTTCTAAGAAGCGTTGTAAGATACAAATTTTAATGGTGTTTAGACTTGCAAGGTCTATGGCTTCAGAAGGGAAGAGGGTTTATTTTGGAAATAAATTTACTTGTGCAAACTCAGTGTGATTTTTCAGAACCTTTCAAAACACCTTTCTTCAAAATACTCACTAAAATACATAATTATGTACTAAATCTTGCTATTGTATCACAAGGTTTGAAATACTTGGAATTTTTTTTTTTAAATACTGTTTCTGGAATCATGGTAATCTCACCTTTCAGAAAAGGTAGGGCTCTGGAGAAAGAAAAAAGCCTGGAAATTATGAGCTTTTAAGGGTCATATAAAAGCTGGAAGGTAATTAAAAATAACTTATTAAAACTTACTACTTTTATTGTCTTGTGAAGTCAGTCTCATGATGTCAGGGTCCTGACATTTGTGCATGCTTCAGGATTCCAGTTTTGGGGTAACTGTAATTTTCATTAAGTACTCTAACAGAGAAGGGGAAGACATTGGTAGAAGAAAACTATTCACTGTGAGGAGTACTGGGAAAAATCCCATTTTATATTCTTTCCCAGCTGAAACCAGAAGATGTCTAATCCTAAGGTTATTAGCTCAACTGTCCTGATCTGGTCATGTTAGTAGACATCCCACAAGCTGCTGTTTAATTTTGTCTTTGGTTTTTTTTTCCTCTCTCTCTCTCTCTTTCTCTCTACAGTGTGATAATGACAGGTGCATATAACAACTTTTTCCGAATGTTTGACCGAAATACCAAGCGGGATGTTACCTTGGAGGCATCCCGAGAGAGCAGTAAACCACGAGCTATTCTTAAGCCCCGGAGAGTCTGCGTTGGAGGCAAACGGAGGAAAGATGACATCAGTGTTGACAGTTTGGACTTTACTAAGAAGATCTTGCACACAGCGTGGCACCCAACTGAGAACATCATTGCTATAGCAGCGACAAACAATCTGTACATATTTCAGGATAAAGTGAACTCAGAAATGCACTAGATTTATCAATATCCCTCTATATTTACAAACCAGCCTCTTGAGAGTTGTAGAAGGATGTGATCGTCACAAAAATTGTGGCTTCTGTGGTGGGATTTGTAGGTTGTATCCTTTCATCCCTCAGCCTGTATCATTGTTGGTGGCAAGCCAACTATTTTCCATCACTGCAACTGTATGAGTAAAAGGCACGACTGCAAATCCAGTACTGTGGTCTGTATTGGTTCCTTTAAACAAACGGGGGTATTTATTCACTTTGGGAGCATTCCTGAGGAGGGCTGAGACTCCTCAACTCACGTCAGTCCTTGCGAGGGTCTCAGTGGTTCACAGGACCATGCTGTCCTGGTGCCCTGCCTGCTTTTGCAGTCCACAGCGTTTACCACATTGTTAGAGCTTTTTGCCTCAATCTCTTGTTATTTTTTTCTTTCAGTAACGTTTTCTTGTCTTTCAACTAAGTCAAGCCCGTTTGAGTGAATGAATAGCCACATCCCTTTAGAGCACGTGGCACATTGGAGGGGCCTCGTAGCAATTATAACTGGTAGCAGAATCCCTGCTGGTGAAAAGCTGCCCTGTCTCACCGGTCCCATTCCCATCTTCACAACACCCTCTTATTTATTTATTTATTCACATTACTAACGTTGTGCTTCAACTTAACGAGCAAATAAGTGACAGACTGGTATAGTTACTCAGCCAGCTTATTTTAAGAGGTTCATTCTCCATAGATTTCTTTGCTCTGTTTAAAACAATAACTAGTATCTTCATCACGTGGAGGACTATTAAAAAACATGGTATTACCACTCCAGAGGGACTGGCTGGTCAGGCATAGCCTGGCAGTTAACACCCGTACTACCATTTGGGGGTTGGAGTTCTGGAAACCTTGGCTAGAAGTGCTGTCCTTGAAGGCAACGATCGACTTCAGTGGGAACAAAGTTACATCGCTGCTAGACACTTCAGAAAGTCCCTCGTTTGTTGATTGCAGGATGGTTATTTTAATCCTGGCCTTTGGGGAATACAGGCAATGCCATGGTAGCTGTAACTGTAAAAGAATGGTACTGGGAGAGGTAGCACTGCTCAGTGAATTTGAATGTTTTAAAATGAGTCCACTGCTGGGTGACAAAATTATTCCTGGAGAAATATGAAAAATCAAAAACTCTAAACCAAACAAAAGCCTCTTCCATATAAATACCTTTAGATATATCTCTGTTTTCAAATGAATAGTGATGTAAATGGAAAATGAAAGTACATGCAGTCGGTGTACCACATGCAGGAATTATACGGGAATGGTGCAGTGGGCAGGGAGTCCTCTTAATCCAGGAGAATAAAGTTCTGCCGCATCCCTAATAGCTCTGGCAGGGAAATTAATATCCCAAAGGATTTCTCCTCAAACCATGAATAAAATAGCACAACTCAGATGGCCTGTTAATCTGCCCATATTAAAACTTCTCAGAAAAAAAAAGTCTTTAAGCCATTATGCACTTGTTTCTTGGTAAGTGGAGAATGTGCTGATGAAGGGATCTGCATGCTTTTATATTTTGGTTTGGGGGCAAGGGTGGGTGAAAATCTGCTTACAAGAACTGAAAAAGTCTACAGCTTTTATATGACATCTTAACACAAACACATGAATCTGTATGTTTGAAGTTTTCTAGATCAATGCTGTATATTTTATGTGTAGAAGCACAAACGCATGTGCATCAGTTTCCAGGCACACTAAACACATACGGTATGAAATGTGTAGGTTAATTTTAAAGGGAATGAGGAATGTTTGTTTATAAAATACTGTATGCTGTAGCAGGCATGGACAGTATATGTACATATTTATTCTAATGAAATTTAACAACATTTCTTTTCTTTTTCTTTTTTTTTCTCCTTGTAAAAAAGCTTTAAGAATGTGGTAAATTGTATAGAAAACTTGTTAATGCCAAACTACGGCTTCAAGGGTGTCATGCAATTTCTTTGACTTTTGGCCTCCTCCATTAAACTTTGCAGAAAAAAGGTTTAAGAATGTGGTAAATTGTATAGAAAACTTGTTAATGCCAAACTACGGCTTCAAGGGTGTCATGCAATTTCTTTGACTTTTGGCCTCCTCCATTAAACTTTGCAGCTAAAAAAAAAAAAAAAAATTCCAAAAAATTGCTATCAGCTCATATTGGCATTTACAGCTAGAAGTACTGTAAAACATATATTTAGCTTTTAACATTCTCGAGTAAGATTCTATAGATAACTTATTATAAAGCAGATCTTAATACAACAATTTTTTTGTTTTTAATTTGAAGTACCTTACTCTGTTACAGCTTTGGGTACCAAAAAGAACATGTTAAAATTAAATAAAGAAATATATCTTTGGAGCTTTATAAAACTAATGAAATAAATACCCAACCAAAATACCATGAAGTGATTATAGAGGAAATAAATAGAAACCTTTCAAAGACCAGTATTCCATTCCTGTCTTTGACATCACCACTACAGATCGGTTTCCTGGTTTCTTGAATGTATGGAAAGTTAACATCGTCATTGTGAACGTTTCCAACTTTCTTTCTCTTTTTAGTTTGAGCTTTCAGTGGTGTAGAGTAAGTGATGGTAAAGTTGGTAAATCTGATTGTTTTGAAAGCTGTTGTTCATGGCTGCATTCTTTGTGTTGCACAAATTAGCTAACTGTTGTTGAATAAAAATATAAATATGTTAATACCAGCTTTTTCAATAAAACTACAACCAAAAAGGCATAAATAGATGACTTGAAGGCACAGCTTATTTTTAAGGTAGACATGAAAGGGTTGTTTAGCTCCTTTTACAAAGGAGGAGGAGTCACAGGGATTGGGACTCACAGGGAGAGCTACTACATGAACTTAAAGTGTTGTGGCAGGTAGAGAAGTAAACACAGTGCCGCGAATGGGCCTGACCTGGGGGTTTCGGGTGATGCAGAGTGTGCGCAGACAGTTACAGCAGAGCTGGAGGTAGACAGGCTTTTGGTTCACACCTTGGACCAGCTTTTTCCTCGGCTCGTAGCCCAAGATAGACTTTAGGAGATCTGAGCCTCAGTCTCCTACAGATGGAATGAGAGACATGCGCAATGTGAAGGGGCGCACACAATCACAGGGTAAAAAATGGCATTAGTGTCATCACTGGCCAGGTTGGAGACCTTCCAGCACAGAGGACCGCGAGGGCACGTCGGGGATGTGTCCAGGCCTGGCCTCCCAGATGAGACAGACATTGGCCCAGGTGACAAACCAGAGGGCTACCAGCAGAGCAGCATCCCTCTTTGCCCCCCCTGTCCCCCCCCGGCTCTCTTTCTACCTCTACCCCAGAGGAAAATTAAAAAAAAAAAAAAGAAAAAAGAAGAAGGAAAAAAAAAGCTGCCTTGGAAACACAACTAAC